GGCCAGGTAGCTGTCTTCCAAATTTCTTTGCATAGATGAGTGAGCACTTCCAGCATCTGTTGCAACATCTCAGTTGGTATTCCATCAATTCCTGGAGGCTTGTTTTCTGCCAGTGCCTTCAGTGCGGCTTAGACTTCTTCCTTCAAATACCATTGGTTCTTCATCATCTGCTCCCTCCTGAAATGGTTGAACGTTGGCCAATTCTTTTTGGTAAGCGACTCTCTATTCCTTCCATCTTCTTCTAATGCTTCCTGCGTCATTCATATTTTGCCCATAGAATCCTTCAAAATTGCAACTCGAGGCTTGAATTTTTTCTTCAGTTCTTTCAGCTTGAGAAATGCTGAGTGTGTCCTTCCCTTTTGGTTTTCTATTTCCAGGTCTTTGCACATTTCATTACAATACTTTGTCTTCTTGAGCCACCCTTTGAAATCTTCTGTTCAGCTCTTGTTCTTCATCATTTCTTCCATTTGCTTTAGCTACTCTACATTCAAGAGCAAATTTCAGAATCTCTTCTGGCATCCCTTTTGGTCTTTTCTGTCTTTCCTGTCTTTTTAATCACCCTTTGCTTTCTTCGTGTATGATGTCCTAGATGTCATTCCACAACTCATCTGGTCTTTGGTCTTCAGCGTTCAGTGTGTCAGATCTACTCTTGAGACGGTCTCCACATTCAGGTAGGATGTTCTCAAGGTCATATTTTGGTTCTTGTGGACTTGTTTTAATTTTCTTCAGCTTCACCTTAAACTTGCATATGCGCAATTGATGGTCTGTTCCACATTTGGCCCTTGGCCTTCTTCTGGCTGATAATATTGAGCTTCTCCATCGTCTCTTTCCACAGATGTAGTCCATTTGATTCCTGTGTTTTATATCTGTTGAGGTCCACGTGTGTAGTCGCCATTTATGTTGTTGAAAAAAAGTATTTGCAGTGAAGTCATTGGTCTGGCGAAATTCTGTAATGCCATCTCGTGTTGTTTCTGTCACCAAGGGCATATTTTCCAACTACGGATCCTTCTTTGTTTTTCAGCTTTCACACTCCAGTCACCAGTAATATCAGTGTGTCTTGATTGCTTGTTTGATCAATTTCAGACTGCAGAAGTTTGTAAAAATCTTCAATTTCCTCATCGTTGGCATTAGTGGTTGGTGCATAAATTTGAATAATAGTGGTATTAACTGGTCTTCCTTGTAGGCATGTGGATATTATCCTATCACTGACAGCGTTGTTCTTCAGGTTGATCTTGAAATGTTCTTTTTGACTGTGAATGCGACGCCATTCTTCAAGTTATCAGTCCCGACATAGTAGACCACATGATTGTCTGATTCAAAATGGCCACTACCAGTCCATTTTAGCTCACTAATGCCTAGGATATCGATCTTTATGTGTTCCATTTCATTTTTGGCGAATTCCAATTTTCCTAGGTTCATACGTCATACATTGCATGTTCTGCTTATTAATGGATGTTTACAGCTGTTTCTTGGCATTTTGAGTTGTGCCACATCAGCAAATGAAGGTCCAAAAGCTTTATTCCATTCACGTCATTAAGGTCGACTCTACTTTGAGGAGACAGCTCTTCCCCAGTGGTATTTCGAGCACCTTCCAATCTGAGGAGCTCATCTTCTGGCACAATATCAGGCAGTGTTTTGCTGCTATCGATAAGGTTTTCACTGGCCAGTTTTTCAGAAATAAACTGCCTGGTTCTTCTTCCTAGTCTGTCTTAGTCTGGACACTGTGCTAAAATCTGCCCACCATGGGTGTCTGTTCTGGTATTTGAAATATTGGTGGCATAGCTTCCAGCATCACAGCAGCACTCAAGCCACCACAGTACGACAGAGTGACAGACGCATGGTGATTTGCTTTAATATCTCATCTTTTTTGTCCCTTATTCCTCTTTTCCCCTTTCAGTATGGGAAATGCAGATCAATAAAAGAAACAGGATAACCTGTGTAACCGTTTTTCTTTAAGTAAGAAGACAGTTCTATGGAATAATAACTGTTTAAGTTAGTCTTGTGTTAAGCGCTTGTCTTGTTTATCTGTAATAATTTGCCTCTAAATTAAGGTGCTAAGTGGAAGCATAGAATCCCAGTGCTGGAAGGGGTTTTACTGTCTTCTTCAGCCTTGCACCGTCTTCAGAAGCTCTTCCGTTGGACCTTGGTTTGCCTTATGGTCGTCTGGTTCCTTTATTAATGCTCATAGTGACAGAGACCTCACTACCCTGCCAGGCAACACCACTCCATTCGGGTCATCTGAAACCTGCCTATGGCCGTTTCCACCCGTTGGTGGTACAGTGCAGAACATAGATACACACACAGCACAAAAGTATTTTCAGCGAGTATTTCTTTTCATTGTTAGATGGAGATGAGCCACTGTAAGGATCATGTGTGGCTAGCCGAGTTTCCTCCTAGTGCCTTGAACCTAGGCACTCGGTTTAGAGAATAAATTCTTTTTCTTATTCAATAACAATGTCTTACTATTAAAGATTGACTGGAAGTTGAGCTAAATATTTTTTGCCTGTACTTGAATTAGAGAATGTGAAAATGGGCCTTTGTAGACTAGACAATAGCCAGATTAAGAAGGTTTTTTTATTGGTTAAAATGGAAGTGTTCTACAGTGATGTTGTTTAGAACTACAAATAAACCCTGGTAGTTCCTAACAAACGGTCCAGTTAGATAAGAAGAAATCCACTTGTTTTGCTGTGTATTTGTGACCCTCATCCTTGCCAGAAGACAGGATGTGCATCCTCATCCTTGTGCAGAAGTGCAGTGCGAGGTGTAAGCTTCCTAATAGCTATTCTGTTTCAGCTCTTGTCTTCAAGAAGCAGAAGGGAATGACCTTAGGGAATATGTTAAAACCTGAGGGAGTTAAAAACAAACCAACAAATATTAGAAGTGGAAGAGCCTAGGGTATCCAGAAGCATACCCAGGAATACTTGACTGCATGGAATGTTTTCTGGATTTACCTGTAGAACTTTCTGGAATTTTAAAATCCAGTTTTTCTGCAGTCATTGCACATCAGATAGGGAGAATGCTGTTATAAGTCATTCCTTACCAAATGGCCTAGGTTCTGAAACTAAGCTTCTGAATAGCCTCCTGGTTGCCAACCCTTGTGTTGCCTTTGGGGGTGCTGAGACCAAAAAACTGATGCAGTTACTTGCCGAAGGGAGTACAGCTGCCTACAGACAGCCTGGGTCTGGAATGCAAGTTTTTTCTTTTAACTCTAGTCTGAAAATAAAACATCAGAAGAGGCAGAAACTGTTGATTGTCTAATCAGCCACACTTTAAAGTTCTTTGTAGCAAAAGTTACATCCAGTGAGGACTGGGATTTAGACATTTTTTCCCCTTCTTCAAAACCGTGTCTAGTCTCCCAGTTTCCAGCTTCCTGTGACTCCCCTATATCTGCTCTGTTCCTTGAATGAGCTGTGGACACACCCTTCCCCAGGCTGAGCCTATGGAGCTTGGCACCCCTTTTTCTTAGCACCTGTCTCCTGGTCTGTCACAGCTGTGATGGACTGTGAGGTACTGTAAGATGTGCAGTGTAAGCATTCAAGGGAAATTGAGCAAACAGCTTCTCTTTGCATTCCGTCACATTCTCTTTCCCTTCCCAAAGGTAGCTCTTGACAGTTTCCCCAACTTTGTAAGGAGTGCTACTTTTCATTTTCTTCCTGTTCTATAATATTGACCATATTCCACTCCTTCACCAGCCTGGTTAGTCTTTTCCTTCATCCTGTTCGGTAATTTTCTTCAGCCTCTCAGGCTTTAGCGCCTGAAAGCCTCTTTACTCCTCCTCTCTCTTCCATAGCTTGTCAGGCTCTGTGGTCTGCCGTGTGTGTGTGTGTGTGTGTGTGTGTGTG